TGGTATCATTGATTCGAAAAGCTGTTATGAAAGACTTGTAAATGTTTAATGAAACATTTAGTATAAGTGTGAAAACCCTAGAAAATCCCATATTTCCTACTAGTATAAAAAGTAGTCTTCTACCAAGACCCGAATGCTTTGAAGGTTTACATTTCTGTATCAATGAAGATTTTTCCCTGTACAACTATTATTATAAAAATATAGTCTACCTCATCGTTTATGTGAATGTGTCACAAAATAAAAGTAATAGGGAAAATTATATAATCATTGAAATCGTATCCTTTTGCCTTAGGATAATCACGGCGTGGAAACTTGCCGAACAGTACAACCGAGAACATCCGTCGATGAACAGGTCCCGCTGTAGCTAGCAGCCAGGTGTAGGATGGTCAGTCTCGTATAGTATATATATATAGTATCTCTCTCTGTATAGTATATAGTATTTCTCTTTGTATAACAAGTAATAGTATCTCTTCATATAGTAGTATAGACTCATGAATGAACTGACTCTTGTGTAATTCCTTGTAATAGGAATAGAAATTTGTATCCCCTAAACTATACCTATAATAGTTTACTGGAATGTAAATTGAATGTCCAAGTAGGTTTATACACCCTTGCTACTCAAGAGTGTTGGAACTGAATATAGAATGAAAGAACCTTTATATCTATATACATATACATGATATATAACTAGGATTCAAACGACCTTCGGATAAATAACTGATACCCTAAGTCCACAACCTAACGAGGAACAGGAGGTAGGGTGAGTTATCAGTTCTAAGTCCTTTCAATCCTACTTATATAACTATATCTATAAAGATATACATTTAACAGAATATAAGTGTAAAAGATTTGAAGTAAAAGTATTTGACATGTAAAAGAGTTTGATCAAACCATTTGATATGTAAAAGAGCTTGTAAAACCATTTGAAAAGTAGTTTGTTGAAAACACAGTTTGAAAAATAATAAATCCACTAGATTGGTAGTTATTAATCACATGTGATTGATATAATAACTATAATTGATCAACTTGTATCCCCCCTCCCCCATAAAAGCATTTAAAAACATTGGAAAACATTTAAAAGGTTAATTAAGGGGGTGTGAACTCACCTGTAGTGAGTGGTTTGGATGAACGGATGATGTAGGATGCTAAGTGTCAAGTGAAGACTTGTACACACATAATGATCCTAGTTAACATATAATAACACATATATGTATCCAATTAGTCATAAAACAACTAATTAACCAAATTTAAGACATCCTAAGACATGTAAAACACTTGATTTAAGTGCTATAAGTCCTAAGGATTGCATCTAAGGGTGGTAGGACCTTGTAATTGAGTTTAGGGTTCAAGGGTAAACTCCCTTGGAGTTTACGGTTTGGTGACCATAACTCATTGAGTTTACGGTCGTAAACCCATGAGTTTACGGCCGTAAACTCATGGTACTTTGACCATTTTGTGTTTTGAAGCCTTAAAGATCATAAAAAGCATTCCTACTTCATGTTTAAGCCTTAGGAAGAGATTAGGGCACCATTTCACTCCTTTAAGGAGTTTACGGTCCTTGGACCACTACTCCTTGGGTTTACGGCCGTAAACCCAAATGGTTTATGGTCTTTTGATGTTTTCAAGTACTAAGCACATCAAGGAAGGGGTCTAGGCTAGTTTCCAAGGCTTGGTAAGGGACTATGGCCACTTTGGCCCCTTTGTTAGGGTTTATGGTCCAAGGTGTTCTTGGACCGTAAACACCTTTGATCCTTTGATTCCTTGTGTTTTCTAGGTGATTAAGAAGTGTAACTAGCCTTATAACACACTAGGGTAAGAGTACTTACAATAGAGAAGCTTTAAAGGTGCTAAAAGTCCAAGAATACTAGTGTGTGTTCTTGGTGTTCTTGGTGAAACTTGAAGATCTACACTTTTGGAATGATATCACGGATGGAATCATGTAAGATCACTAGATTAAGTAAGATATCAACTTTTTAGGGATAGAAACACTTACAAAGTTGAAGATCTTGAAGAACAGTCGGATGATACTTGAGAGAGAATTGGGTTTTGGATCTTGAAAATGTGAAAAGTGGTAAAAATGACTAAGTGTCATATTTATACCCCCTTTTACGGTTGACGGCCGTAAACACCTTTGTTTAGGCCGTAAACTCCAAACTCTTGGAGTTTTGGGACATTATTGTTGCACAATAAACCCTAGGGCATCCTCTCTCCTGTTATCTCCTGAAGTACAAATCTCAAAACACTCAAACTTATTCCAAAAAGCTTGAAAGTTAGCAGAAACAGTTCTGACTTCTATTGAATTGAATGGTTGTACAGAAAAGAAATTTCGGGTTGTCACAACCTGGGTCAAGGAACACGAAGCTTCCATCACCAAAGCCACTTCCGCTATTGTTGCTTCAACAGAAGTTTGCACGGAGGCGACCGAAAAAGTCGATAAACTAATTTCTAACGCAAACATTTTCCTTGAATCTTTACAAGGCGCTGCAGAGCAGAATGCTAAAAAGGTCAATGCCTCGGTTCAGACCCTCACTTAATCTCTTCAACAAGAGAAAGAGCTATTTGAGGTGCTTCGGAAGAACCTCACCTCTGATCACATCAAACATCAAGCTTCTGTCTTTGAACGTTTGGATCAACTTCAGGCAGATCTTGCCTTGGAAAACAGAGTGATGGATGAACTTGCTCTGAGGACCACTCAAGTCAAAACCCAGACTCTCAAGCTCAATCAAGCGAACAAGGAACTTGAAGCACTACGTTCGCAGTGGTCTGTGGTTAAAAGCTCTGTTGGTAATGTTCACTCTATTCTCCTTCATCTTCTTGAAGCCTACGATTCCGTTCTTACCATCTCAATTCGACGTCATTTGGCTGAGAAGTTACGGCCTGCTCTAGATATTCTAAGCCGGATAGAGGGTGTTCCGGAGTCTGTTGTCTCTCCGCAACAAGGGGGAGAAGAGACTAAGTCTTCATCTCAACCACCGAAACCACATCAACCGAACTCTCAACAACCGAAACCGAAACGACAACAACCGGAGGTGGTTACTGAACCGAAGGGGAAAGAAGCTTCAGGTTCGGGCATGCAGGATACGGGAAAAGGAGTTGTTATTGATATTGATGATGAGGATGATGTTGATATTGAAGAAACGGTTCCTAAACCAAGTTCTCTCAAAGCCAAGCCTACTGCTCAGGAGATTAAGGAAAAAGTCACTGCTGCCCTTAATAAGGAGAATAAGAAGAGAGAATCGAATCTGCTTAACCAGATGAAATCGATGTTTCCTCTGTGGACGTTGGAAATCCTACGAAAGGAGGTTATTGAAACTCCAAGTTCACATTGGCTAGAGCCCGTTCTTTCATTTAATTTCGAGAATTCTAAAGATTCTCAATTTGACATGCCAATCACTCGTAGAGCCTTCATCTTTCACTACTTCGAGTCTGTAGTGGCGGTTCCTTCTCCTGACCTGAAGGTTGATCAAGACTTGCTTGAATATTATCATGAATTCTCTCAACCTCAGTACCTTACTTGGAGTAACAAGAAGATCACAACAATTAAGGTGCTGAAACCTACTGCAGCAGGGAAGTTCATTAACATCAAGTTCAATGTGACCCGAGGATCAGATGGTTCGGTCCATATGATTAGCCTTGCTGATCTGCCAAATCTGAATCCACACGATTGGATTCTTATGAACATCATCCTACTCTCTAATCAGAAAGAATATGAGCCCATCATTGATCACATCAAGCGTATGCTAGTGTGTTACATTCATGAAGTGGCGAAGATGGATCAGGAGATTGCCATTGCTATACGCATGAGGCCGTTAATCAAGCCTGTTGGGAAGGCTGGTGACATTAAGCTGATGGTGAAGGGAAAAATTGATCCACAGTCTCACACTGTCATGTTTCTTAGAGGCGAAGGTCAAAGAGGCTTATTTGCTCTAGCTGACAAACATCTATTCTCCAATTCCTATTTGGAGTACATTCTTGAGCTTATCCATGGGTGTGATCAAAATAGTGAAGCAGACAAGAAGCTGTTCTCAGATATGCTTCGGTGGTATATGGCTTTCAGACAAACTCTTCTTGCCATCATTCCAAAATTGTTCAAGGTTGTGAACCGAACTCCTCAACCTCCACCGAAGTGAAGTCTCGCCCCATTTGACGCAAAGGGGGAGATTATTGGGTCTAGTAGGGTTGCGTCCTTGGGCTCGGTCCTTAGCCCAGTTTTGTTATCCGGTTTGGGCCTATCCAACCGTGTTTATTTTATTAGGGTTTAGTATTTAAGGTGCATGCGTGCATCCTTTATTGTGAGGGGGCTTTAATCATTATTCTTATCATTGTACTACAAACCCTAGCTCGCCTCTACAGTGGAAGTTCTTCATCGAGCTCTGCTGAGGCGTGACTACATTTGAATCATTAAGTATTACTTGATTCTATATCGTGTTTATTGTGTTTGTTTGCTTTTATTGTTTGTCTGTTGAAGATCTAATCGATCTAAGAGTTTTTCAACTCATCACTTTGTATTGAAGAGGCTCGTTTAGGTCAGAGATGATTTGTTGAATGGTTTCAGATATGATGAATTATGGTGGAGGGGGAACCAAAGGCTCTTCAGGAAGATCATCAGGCTTCCGAGTTGTTGAACCTTCATCAATCTGAACGATCTTTGGAGCAGGGATTGGTGGAAGCAGGGATTGTGTAGCTCGGAATGCATCGATTATTAGCTTTGTTTTGATTTTGGCCATGTCTTAGCTTCTTTTGAACGTTTCAGTAAATGTTGATGGCCAAGTAACCGAGGACCATTTGAGCTTTTCTACATCCGAAAGGACCTTCACAGGTTTTTCCCTGATAGCTTGAAGTCCTAAAACACCATTTTCAGTCAGATCTTCTTCTTCTTTATCGTGAGACTCGAGAGCTTCAATAGGTTCAATCTCGATTAAATCTTCTTCTGATGACTCATCTCGGAGTATAAATTCCGATACAGGCTTCCATTGAATTCTTCTTTCTCTCTGACTAGCTCATTCTCCCCCTATTGCGTCGGAAGGCCCAACATCCGATGCAAGTCTGGCATTGGTCTGAAGTTCAGTTAAGCGTTCGAACACTTGTTGAAAGCTCATGTTTATATGTTTGGAGAGAGATTCGTAGGATTCGACGGTGGGGGCTTGAGCTTTTAGATGGTCAAACAGCGAACCCAAAAATCGTGAGCATTCTTCAAACTTGTTGTTCGGAACATCAACAATATTCAAGCATGCTCGGAGCAGCTTGATGAGGACCTGTTGCATAATCAAATTCATCTTGTCCTTTTTCCAAATCTCCTTCTCCAGCCTTTGGATTTTCTTTTCATGACGAACATGAGTTTGTTTGATCAGTTTGTTCGTAGCACTGATCATGTCCTCATGAATCTTAAGCATAGTAGTGGTGGTGGAGATATGCTGATCAAGGATTTCATTGTATTTATGTTAAACATCTTCTAGAGTGTGCTTGAATCGAAGAGAAATGAGCTGCTCAAGTTGATTTGCTCGATCGAGTTCGGAGGGGCCAACTTCTTTGATCTCGGAGAGAGATTGGAGAATGAGTTCAAGCTTGGAGTCGAGGCTGGTAACCTTCTTATCGATCTTGGAATCAATTTGAGAAACAACCTTGGAAACAGCACTAGCAACGTTGTCTCGGAGTTCTAACAATGCAAAGGATATGCAATGTTTCATCGGAAGATCCTGTGTCCAAGGTAGAACTCTCAGACTTTTTATCATCATCATCACCATCATCATCATCTTGTGGTTCGAAAGGCTTGGGACTATCACCTGGATTGGTTTCAGCTTCATTGACTTCAATGCCTTTATTGTTGGCATCAACATTTATTTGTTCTTCTTCCGAGGAGGAGGAGGAGAAAATGTCGAAATCATATGTTGGTTTGGAAGAGGAGGGCTTCTGTAATGACTTGAAAGTTGTGAGGATCATAATAGCACCAACAGATGTCTTGTCATCATCAAACATTACATCATCGGAATGTTCTTCGTTGAAGGGAGGATTCGGAGTTTCTGCGCTTGTGAACATCGGTGGAGGATCATCCGAAACATTTTTTGGATCGGGAACATCTCTTGTAGCGGTTTGCTGAGATTGTTCGAAAGAGGTGAATTCTTGATCAGTTTTTGCATCAGCCGGAAAAGTGAATGGCAGATTGCTTTGAATAGCTCTGTGACGCATTGAGATACGCGTATACTCCACTTGAGCTCTATTTAGTTCCGGATGACAAGAATGAGCCATGTCTACAAAATCAGACCAATCTTTATCAGAAGTACCTGGTCGTACTTTACCTGAACCAGGTATCAGACCAGTTGGTGCTTTCGAAGTAGGAGGGACAACTCCAGCTTTGGAAATCATAGAATTAGAAGCAAGGGCTTCAAGGACTATGTTCAATATCGGCACTATCTTTTTGGGAGATGGAGGTAGATTGTGTGCTGACTCCCCGTGAGTGTGTGTCTGTGTGATATTGAAACTCCGAAGGGTACTTCGGAAGACTGGACGGTAGGGGTTAGCAGTGATCCAGAGTCAGATTGAATGCTAATATGTGTTTCTTTTTGATAGGATTCACTGACTTTGGTTCTCTTTTTCGCTTGAACTTTTGAGGGTGATGTTTTTCGTTTAGCCATTTTCTTCTTTCGGCCACCAGTAGAAACTGGTTTGTTCACATCCAAAGGCTGCTCATCCGAGACTGGGGTTGATTACGTGGGATCATACACAACTGAAGTCTCAAGCTGGTGTTTGAGATAAATTGAGTCGAATGGAACTGATGCCAGCATATGTTGTGGCAAGCGACGAATAGGTCCGAAAGCAGATTGATTCGGAAACCTATAAGTTTTAATGGCCTTAAAAGAAAGATATACCTCTTTAAGGTTGGAATTGAGAGAAATGGCTTCTTGTCTTTCATCATACAATTGTTGAAGCATCAGAGCCCAGAATCCCGGACTTGATATCTCGTTAGGCTTCCTTTTGATGGAAAACTGTGACATCCCAGAATTTAGGGCAAAAATTATAACCGGCCAATTCACCGCGAACCTCGTGATAATCTGAATTATTGAGTTTTAGTACATCTAAAGTAAAATAAATAATTTTATTTCAATTATTATATGATGTCAGATGATACCTTACTTCCAAATGTGTAAACCATCAACCGAATCAAACCGCTTAAACGACAACGCTAATTAATGCATTTGAAAAACTTAAATTTTGCATTATACGGTTTTGAGCAAAACAAACATTAAAATATTATAGTACATGTTCCCCTGTTTCTGAAAATATAAAGAACGTTCCAAAACGAAGTTCATATGCAAAAGATATAACAGTTTTAAGAAAACAAGCGGTAAAACACTGTTTTTTTCTTTAATCACATAAAACCGAATCGGTCTGTTGAGGCACTTATGCTTTGCCGACAGGATTTCCGAAAATGTTTTTGAACTTAGGCTATAGTCTATTATTTAATCTCATACTCGAAACATTTTTAACAAAAATTTTTACAAAAATTGTGAAAACAGACACCGCGAGCTGTTTAGACACAAAACTTCAAACGCAATTTCGTTGAGTTCCGTAACTCGAAAAATTAATCCATTTGATGTTCCGTAATCCTTGAATTAAACTCTATCTAATTCTATTTTCGAAAAAAATCCTCGATACACGGATCCCAACGCACCCGGTTTTGTGTATTTGGGGCATTTAATGGGGTATAACCTCATGTGGGGACCACATATGACCCAAGAGGAGATTTTCTTTGCGTTGTGATTCTTCCCCACATGTTTCTTTTCCTCTCTCCTTCTCCTTGGTGTGTAAGTCTTCCCAAAATGGTATATTGCATGGGTGGAGGTATGGCTTCATCATGTGTGTATGTTTTAGTATAAATAGAGCTTCATATTATATCATTTCTCACTCAAAAACACCAGCCATTTTCCCTCTCTCTCTTGATCTCTATCTCTCTAACAATCTCTCTAATCTCTCTTAGTGTATAACACCACAAACCACCATCCCACCACCACTTTACCACCCTTATACCACCACTCCACCACCATACAACCTCCTAACACCTCCCTCACCTCTCTTCCTCCTTCCCCGATGAAATTCAGTCAACGAAAAGGGAAGAAAAGAGGAGGCAGCCTCCTGCCGCCTCCAAAAAGAGGCAGCTGCCACCGCCTCAACCCACTGCCAGCCACCACCTCCACCACTAGTAAGTCCTCCTCCTCCACCCCTTTGTCTATTCTCTGCTTGTTTTCTTTTGTCACTTGCCGAGAACCACAGGATCAATCATGTTTCCTTTTTTTTAGTATGCATGCCTTCGACAATATCAGGAGGTGGTAACCTCCTGATTAATTCAATTTGCAAAATAAGGTTACTGTACAAACCCCATTTCCAAAATAATTCAAATGGACCAATTGCTAACTTCTTTTCAAATCTAGTCCTAAGGACCATAACCTCACTTGAAAATATTCATAAATTACCCTCTTTTGGAATTTCCTTATAAATCAAGTCCTAAGGTCTTGAAAATTCAATTAAAAAGTGCACAACACACCCCTCTCTAGGAAATCTTTTATGAAACAGATCCTAGAACCTAAACTATTAATTATTTATTTATGTTTAACCCCTCTCTTGGATTTTATTTGCAAAACAAATCTAAGGGTTGAACTTATAAATTAAATAAAACAGTTTTAGTCCCTTAATTAGATATATTTAACTAACATAACTCTTTTAAGTTATTCAAATTATCTAATGAACCCTATACTTTGGTTAAGTTACCAAGCGACCCTTCACATATTAATTTATATTTCCTTAGGAAACTCGGATCCTCTTGGAGTATCGTGTTCACGACTATTCATCTCGGTTTTCTCGCATCAATTCTAGAAACAAATTGACAATCACACGTTAAGGTGACTGTTACGACGCCACTTTTACATATTTTCGGGGGGGGGGGGGGGGGAGGAATACATGTACTACTTGTAATATATATATATATATATATATATATATATATATATATATATATATATATATATAGGCTTAGGTTATTCTATTCAAAGTAATTATTGTGTTATTGTATGCATAAATATTGGTCAATCAAATTTACTTATTTTAAGAAAGTGATTAATATATATTATTGAATTAAATATAATTGAAAAATATCGTCTTAGTTAATTACAAGGGTAATTTAGTCAATTAATATAGATTTAATAAAGTAAAATTGCATTTTTTAAGGGATAATAGATTCTATTAATTTTAAAAATCCGATTTTACGAATTATAATTCTTTTAATTCGTACATTCTGACAGAATATGTTTATGAGTATATTCAAAAATAAAAATATTCTTGAACCATAAATAATAAAAATATTCTTGAACCTATTTCTTGATCATGAATTTAAAAACTTCTTGTAGATTAACAAATTCTTGAAGCATAAATTGAAGAATAAAAACAAAAAGTACATTATTTCTTATAGAATATGGGTAACAATTGTTCAGAATTACATTTATTGTTAAAGAATAAAACTAAAAAAACTTTGAAAACGGGAAAGAAAACATCAACATCTAACAACGACTAATACATTCTAAAAGAATAATGTGGTCCGTTTCAATTTTGTGGTCCATTCTTCAAGCATAAACTTCTGTGATTCCAACAGAATTGGAATTCGTGATTCTATTCCAACAGAATTGGAATTCGTGATTTCATTCCAATAGAATTGGAATCTCACCAATACCATTCTGTGATTCCATTTCATTATGGTTTTCAGGACATTACTACACTCAAACCCTAATGAAAAATTGTTTCCTTTTCACAATAGATGTTGTCACATGGATTACAGTCAAGAAATACAAGAACAATATTGTTCTTGCCCTTATGTACCCAGCAAACCAACAAAAAAAAGAGGGCAGTTTCCCATTCGTGTTCTTCCTTCTCCCATTCCTGTGAAAACAACAAACCCAATCAACTCTACAAACACCCATCGATTTTCTGTCAAAAGCAACCCCAAGATATCTAATTTTGTACTACTGAAATGGCGTTCCCTTTACCCTTTCTGAATTGAACTAACATGCATTCCTTTCTTCACTGCTAGCCTCGGACCACCCAAACACCAGCTGTTCCCTCTTGTTCTTCCTTCTTTCCTGTGAAACAATCAAACCCATAACCTGATAAAAATTAATAACTTATCACCAATGCTTGATTCACAATTATATAAAAAAGATCATAGTTCACAATTGTATAAAGAGATCATAGAGAAACCTGATCAAATATCTATCCTTTGCTGAATTCCTTCAAATGCCTCCTTCCTCTCTCTCGTTTCTGACTTGCTCACCGGGAAACACAGGAGCAACCGAAGTTGTTACCTCCCCCAACACCACCTTGCACGGTC